AGAAGTGCCGGTGGCTTGTGGCGCGATGCGTCTAGAACTTTCATACGCTTCAGGCTGGCTGGGCGCCACGGCCACTGTTTCTTTGGGCATCTCGCTTCTGTCCTTCATCAGTTGTACGCCTTCTTCATTTCATTGAACCAGTGACGCCGGCACGTTTGCGTCCGACGCCGGCACGTCACTACAGATTATTTTAATTATTTGGATTTCCTGAGCTCTCGCAGCACAGCACCATCATTATCTAATGAGGGCCACCAAAGAGACAGCAGGACCGTTCCTGAGTTGCAAATTTATCTGCGTGGTGCTTGTCCTGGACACATTTGACACCGGACTACTGATCTGCAACACTATATGCTACAAACAAAACGCCAGCATTTATGGCACTGCACCGGACGAGCAGATAGCGCTTCGACCCGATATATCAGCCCCATATATCAGCGCTCACGCTTTGATTTCTGTTGGTCTAGTAGTACCAGCAAAGATAGCTACAACTGAATCTGTCGGCATATTTGTACTGTTGACAAGGGCACAAATCCACCGAGACGGTCCATATAGTAGATATCACAATAATATAAAAGGGCACTGCAGTAGATCTTAAGGTATGTACTTTTGCAGTTAATCAGCTATCATGATCTGTCTTCTTTAGAGCTGATGAAGGTTTCCACATGTCAAGTTCTCAAAATATATTCAAGACGTCCAGCCTGAGTTCAATGAAAACCGTGATCACCAAAGCTAAAGCATTTGCAGGCAAAACGGGTACAAAGTTTCACTGCTGAACTTTCAAGCCAATTGCTTGCACCATATTGGTGTAAGATTTTGGGCTGCTGATGTACTTTCACTTATTTTCTGCGTCAGCCTACCAGCCTGTCCTCGCGGCCTATGTGTTATTCCAGTTATGGTATGTAGATTCTAGCATTTATAAGGTCACGGACCGAAACAAAACGACTATTTCAATAATGTTTGTTTTCAAGTGTCGCTCCTCGACACAACGCGATGTTTATTGCCTATCCCTGAAGCCGTCGCCCTCAACTTCACTCTATTTTGATTACTAAGCGAGTTGGGCATGTCAGAGTATTGTCCACGGTACAGCTGGCAATGACAGCATGGCATAGACGTGTAAGCTGTCACAACTATCCCAAGTTGGCTGATTGAATTTTTCCCTGCTGAACATTTGCAGTGGAGTCATGGTGTTTTCTTCATTTTATAAGGAAAGTGTAACGGTCACTTTCACGTGGAGGATTAATTGAATTTTACTCCATATCCATCAAGCAAAACTAATATGAGGTCAATGGAAGGCATGTTTATTGTTTGCGCTGGCGTTCATTGGCTTTTTAAATGTAAACTGCCCTCGAAAGTTTCTGAAACAGCAAGCCTTTTAGTACGCGAGCTCTCACGTTACAGCAAGCCTCTTGGAAGAGCGTTACGCGTGTTAAAATTTCTGACTACTACACACTGGGATAGCAAGAAATGTGTCATTAAAAACCTGAGCAGTGCAAACCTAAGAGCGTTGGCGCTTTGATGTTAATATCATCGTTAGTAGCCTGTCACTATGGAGCAAAGGAAACATAGCCTGTGTTTTCTGTTTTTAAATTCCCGTTTTTTATGCTGTTTTCAATATTAGTAGTTAAAAATTATGTAAACTGTTACGGTTGCATATACCGGCAGTATCACCGTGATCATTTCTGAATAGCGTCGGGACATCGTTACGCTCTTAAGCGTTCAGTCCTGTACTCCTTTCACCAAAATGAAATCATATACTTGACTGAATAACTGAGTAAGTGATTAACTATTTCATTATTTTAAGTGTAAAATCTTTTTTGTACGTTCGCGTTGATTGTCTGCCGTGAACGCCGTAGCATTTTTGGGTGACATTGATGGTTATTTCACATACATAACAACGTGCGGTGAGTTCTTCATTAGGGGGCAGTATCGTTCAAAGCAGCTCCTCATCCTTGTTTGAGTCGGAAAGAAAAAGAGCTGAGTAAACTAGATCCGCCTTTCCGACAGTAAAAAGAGAGACCGACCAATAGTTAAGCGTGATATCAAAGGTCCTTGCTCCTTTTTCCTAACAAACAAGATATGTGGTTTTTTTAAAGATGTGGATGCAAAACCCGAAATTAGGCTGAACTTCAGGGGAGCGTGGAATTATCTAAAACAGATAGAATAAACGATTCATTACGTTCCTTCTTGAATTTCTAAACTTTTTTGAAAATTTTAGACATAAGGCTTTATTTTTGCGGATCTCATCGAAAAAAAGATATACAGCCCTCTATTCAAGCGACTGTCTGCCGTACTTCACTGTTTTTCTGTTTACTGTAGCAATAACACCTTGCCATCTCAAGGCTCTAACCATGCAGCGAATTCTCTAGAATGTGTGTAGAAATCTTAAATGCGAAGCATTTCTTAGCAAACTTCGGCAACTTTGGGCGTATCTATCTATCTATCTATCTATCTATCTATCTATCTATCTATCTATCTATCTATCTATCTATCTATCTATCTATCTATCTATCTATCTATCTATCTATCTATCTATCTATCTATCTATCTATCTATCTATCTGGTCTGTCTGTCTGTCTGTCTAGTCTGTCTATCTATCTATCTATCTATCTATCTATCTATCTATCTATCTATCTATTCTATCTATCTATCTATCTATCTGTCTGTCTGTCTGTCTGTCTGGCTGTCTGTCTATCTATCTATCTATCTATCTATCTATCTATCTATCTATCTATCTATCTATCTATCTATCTATCTATCTATCTATCTATCTATCTATCTGTCTGTCTATCTATCTATCTATCTATCTATCTATCTACTCTCTATCTGTCTGTCTGTCTGTCTATCTATCTATCTATCTATCTATCTATCTATCTATCTATCTATCTATCTATCTATCTATCTATCTATCTATCTATCTATATATCTATCTATCTATCTATCCATCTATCTATCTATCTATCTATCTTTCTATCTATATATCTATCTATCTATCTATCTATCTATTTACGTTTGGGTGCTCTCGTGGTCACCCACTTAATTTCGCATGAACCAAAATTAGCATTGGGGGGGGTAATATGCATTGACGAATATGACGCACTGGTGAAGACATAAATAATGCCACAATCCCGTCGCGTACGTCGTCCAACACTTCCCGTCAGACAGTCGGCACATAAGCACAAGTGGATATGTGCCACATGTGATTTACACTTAGTATCTACAAACGAAAAACACATGGGCAACAGACGAAAAAACACATGGGCAACTTTAACTCACTAGCGCTAAGAAATACTCGTCATCTGTAGCGTCAACCCGACGAATACAAAAATAAATGTCAGGGCCCCAGCTGATATTAAACTCATGCATTCTGCGTGGCAATGAAGCATTTTACCACAGAGCTACGCGAGGTCTCGGAACTATTTTTCAAATAGACGATAATCTTCGTGAAACATGAATAGTGGTAGCAGTGCTGCCTGCAGAATTTTACAAACAATACATATATACTCTTTGATACAGCCGTCAAGCCGGGTTAACGTCAATTCTGGTTAGTTGCTATGCGCTTGAGTTAATTTATGTCGCAGTGTCGAGGGCCAGCATCCTCGCGAGCATCATCGCTTCATATCAGCTTATGGTGTTGTTAATAGGAATATTCCTGCTGGCATCATTGCGCAAGTCCAAACAGCTGGGTAAATAAACATCTGCAACTTTTCAACATATTTATTCTAAGCGTGAATCATTTGTACATATATTTACCCTCATTTCTTGACGCTTCACTAAAAAAAAAAAATTGCAACATGGTCACCCTCACTCCGCATGCTTCGCATAACGCTGATTTGCAGGTACGTGGGATTTGTCGAATTTTTTTTTCAGTACAGTTTTTTGCTCAGCGTTCAGTCCGCTTCCATCGGTGGAATGAATATCTACAACACTGAATGGTGGAGGCGATAACAGTTGTACTGCCGATGAAAGCGGGAAACTGAAACCTCGTGTGGTTTTTGCAGGCTTCATCAAGTTTTGTTTATTATTTGACAAATAAAATTGTGGTCATTTAGGGCACACACACACACACACACACACTTTTTTGTTGTCATTATGAGCGGCGGCAGATGCCGTGCTTATGTTTCTTCGCTGTTTGCAGGCAGCCATGCAAGCATGTGAGCACACCACTGGCAGCGCAACCAGGCGCCTCTTTGAAAGCATGAGAAAGAAAAACGAAACAATAGTCTCTGGTGCAGCCTAAAGCTGCCTCAAGTGCGTCCAATACTATTTCAAGATATGTTTGTTTTAGGCAAAATAAGTTTACCTGCGAGGATATGCTGTCGTATAGCAGTAGATTCGGTCTAGCGGCTAAGGTACTTGACTGCTAACCCACAGGTCGCTGGATCGAATCCCGGCTGCGGCGGCTGCATTTCCGATGGAGGCGGAAATGTTGTATGCCCATGTGCTAAGATTTGGGTGCATGCTTAAGAACCCCAGGTGGTCGAAATTTCCGGAGCCCTCCACTACGGCGTCTTTCATAATAATATGGCGGTTTTGGGACGTTAAACCCCATAGATCAAACCAAATCATTTAGCAGTAGATTGACCATATCGCTATTCAGTACCGCTAGCAGGCCTGTTTTGTCGACTTTCAACATCAAGTTAAAGGTATAATTCCTTTTTTATAGGACAAAAGCATGCTCGTTTCCGCCGATGTGATAAACGATCTTCTCATTTGTGTCACGATCAGGAAAGTTTTTTCGAGCAGTAGACAATCTTTTTACGGTGTTATATGGTTAGTGTTTTGGACAATAAATGCGTGTCAGTAAAAACTCGGTGTTTCTGAGCGTCTTCCTTTTCCCCTGTCATTTGCCTCTCGTAGCCATTTTACTGAACACCTTAAAGTTACCATATGTCTTTTCGCTTGTGCGTTAAGCTGTTTTAGCATTTTACACGTGCAAAGAAAGCAAGGCAGATTACTTGCACTGCACCACGTTTATTTTTTGTTAATTGTTTTCTGTGTAGGTTAACATGCAGGGCGACGACATCGTGATCTCCGGCTTTTCCGCCTACTTCCCGCAAGCGGATCACATGGTCGAGTTCAAGGAAAAGCTCTACGCGGGCGTAGAAATGGTCACCGAGGACGACTTGCGATGGCCTCCAGGTGTGTTTAGGAAGCCTTTTAATTCTGCACAGTGTTCAGTGACATGCTACAGCAGAAACTCAGGCGCTGCCACAGTCAATGCAATTCCACTTACTACATTATCTAGAACACTGTGCAGCGCCAGTTATTCTAGCACCAAACTGAAAAGTACAATTCGGAAAATGTGCACACAACAGGTACCCGACAGAAAGAAGAACCAGCATACGGTAAATAAAAATTTTTTTTCCAACAACAGCACGACGAACTATTCATGAAGACACAAACGTACAATAGTTTTTGACAACTATTTTCTTACCCCTACTTTCCACATTCTTGTCAACTGAACTACAACGAGCTCAGTTTGTTATTTAAGTATTTAAGTAACATAATTTTTTTACGCGTATGGTAGGCCAGCATTATACTGCTATCTGCCAGCACGGCACTCGCGCTACATAAAGGAAGTCTTTGTTTCTCACAGCAGTACTTCTCAGCGTTGCGTTGTGTAAGCTACAAAACCTAGCTTCAGTGATACGAATAGATATATGGGTACTAATTGTGAGTTTGTTAGGGTAGTGTAGAAACTATAACACATTCGTAAAAAAACAGATTGAACAAAAAACGCACTCTTCTGAGATGATCAGGGGCCCTATGCAGGATCCGCCGAGTTTCGCAAAACTCTGCATACTCCCGTCATCTGGTGACACCCCCTTACGAACGAGCCAACAGGACGAAAAAGCCAAATTCACCCCTCAGCACGCTGCATTTCATTGGTTACGATGGAGCCAGTCATCGCTTCGAAGACGCACGACTAAGTTAGGGGGTGTTTTCAAACCAGAGGCATCCTCTTTCATTTAATTGTTTGTCGTTTCACTGAGTGAAAATGTGCACCCATGCAATAAAAGGGTCAGAAACTTTCCGCGAAGATATTTTTAAAGGGACAGGTACTTAAATTTATTTTGAAGCTTTTATTGCTTTTATTAAGTCTGTTTTAAAATAATCAGCACGGTGGCCTCTGAGGTGGTCAAAATTTCCAGAGCTTCCCACCACGGTGTCTCTCATAATCATATGGTGGTTTTGGGACGTTGAACCCCACTTGCCAATCAATCAAAGCAATCTGAGATCAGTACTGGCTGAGCGTCTCACAACATCGTGACCGCAGCTAAATTCGAGGCCATGTGTCGGTCTGTACATTCTATCAAGGCCACGTGTCAGCATAAGCAGTGAAGCGCTGCTCGGACAATGTGCGTCGTCTTTGTTGTCATCACCTGCCAGCACCAGAGCACGTGCGGCCGTTTAATTAGCTATTTCGCTGAGCGGTTTACTTGGCAAGTTAGGACAGGACATGCTATGACCGAGCTATTTACAACATGTGATGGTAAGGCCCAGGTAATTACGCCACATCTTCAGAAGAACATGCTGATGAAGCCATGTAATGCTATAAACGTGCTAACTGATGCATGCTAGTTAATGAGCTATCTAAAGTATGGTAATTGACTCGACGTTAACCATGAGCACGCTAAATAAACCTTGCTAATTAGCCCTTACTAATAATATGACAATTATATCTTGGTAATTATGATTAAGTTTTATAGGTTCATACTGTGCAAGGCTGGAGCCTTGCTAATTCTGGCCGAGATAATTGCATTTTAATTGAACTCTTATTGATTAGGACAAGACAGCTCAGTGCAATGGTCATTAAGCCCCAGTCAGTTAGTTTAATCAAACTTTAGACAGCTGATGCGGTCTTCACTTCTAAGCCGACCACGCACACGAGTAGACGACCAACCTAAAAAGCTACAAGAAGCTAGGCTATCATAATCTCCTCCATGACTCCAGCCTTTCACAAGTAGTGTAAGGCCACCAATTTATTATACATGCAAATAAGCTGCCACATAGCGTTCACCACATCAAAAGCTTGACAGTCACACCGGCACCATCACAGTCCCGAGTTGAACTCGGACTTTTTGAGAATCAACGAGTTTGTATCCGAGTTTACACGTTAATCAGTTTGATTGACAGATGCCCGGGGCAGAGATCGGGTAAGCCCACCACGTTTGCTCTTGCCGAGGAGCAGTACTGACGTTGAACGGCACGATTTATTTATCAGCTTTATCGCGCAGACTATGCCCACACGCACGCTAAAGTAAAAGCGATATCACAACGCGGCTACAATGTTTCGCATTCAATTTTACCGCGCATGCTCACGATGTTGCCAATCACAGCCGCAATACCGCCATAATGCGAGCGCTCCTGGTGGCCAGCTGTCCTTATAACTGTTGATGATGAATAAACTTTATTTTCGTGTCCGGCATGTTTGTCGTCCGGGCTAGACCACACAAGAGGTACCGGGAGACCTTGTCTCTGTACAGCCTCCCTGGCCTGCTGGATTGCCCATTTTTGGTCTTGAACCTCCGAGCTGAGCAGCATAAGTTGCCACTGCTCCCGGAAAACCTCAGGAGAACTTGTTGATAAGCAGGGACATTTCCATAATATATGTTTGTAAGACGCCTTTTCTGTTACACATGTCTTACAGTTATTGTCCGGGTATAAGTTTGGGTAGCTCCTGTGGAGGTGCACAGGGTTCGGGTAGCAATTCGTCTGTAGCTGTCGGTATTCCGGTGCTTCTTGCCTGTTTAGACTCGGATGAGGGGCGGGAAAGACGCGCCTTGCTTCTCTGTAGTGTTGCATGTATTCTGTGTAGCTTGTAAATCGGTCTTTGTGTGGTACGTCGGCGGCGCCAGGGTTGATCGTCGAGCGGTGTAGTCGGGTTGCGCGGCGGGTTAATTCTCGCGACAACTCATGAGACAGCTCGTTAGGATTGGGTGTATCAGTCTCTGTGTGCGCCGGGAACCATACAAGGTGTTTCGGTTCTTCTACTTTGTGTAGTTCTTGGTTATTAACGAGGATTTTGAGGGCTTGCTGTGAAATCCGTCCTTGCGTAAAATTTCTGATTGCTACTTGCGAATCGCTCAGTATGAATGAGTGTTTGTTGGAGGTGATAGCCTTGGCTATGGCTACCTTCTCAGCCTCCTCTATATTGTTTGTTATGACAGAGCACGCATTAATGCAAATGCCGAACATGTCAACCACGACAGCAGTGTGAGCTTTTCGTTCAGGGTATGGGCTAGCATCTACAAAAAGAGATTTACTGTTCGTGCCGTGTGCTTTGAGCAGTGCTTTTGCTCGGTGTTTTCTGTGGTCCGTGTTGATAATGGGGTTCATGTTTTTCGGTATCGGGTTAGAAATGATCTTATCTCTGTATTAGGGATGTAATTTTTTACACCATGTTGTGCATGGTACATGATCCCTATTCTACTCATTATATTTCTTCCCATTTTAGTTTTACTGAGCCTTTCAAGCTGGGATATCCGCTGAGCTTCTATAATCTGTTCAAGCGTATTGTGCAGTCCTAGCTGAAGAAAAATGTTTGTGCTAGCATACCCAGGTATTTCTATCGCTTTTTTGTAGACCTTCCGGATGAGTGTATTTATTTTGTTAGTTTCAGCTTTTTGCCAGTTGTGGGATGCTGGTACATACTTATGTGACTTAGGACGAAGGGCCTGAATTAGACGAATTACGTGGGCTTCTTTCATACCTCGGTGTTTATTCGTGACCCTGCGAATCAGTCTTATCGCATTCGAGACTTTGGTGTTTAGGCTGCATAAGTCTCGCCGTTGGCACCATTAGCCTTGATGACTAATCCCAGTACCCGTATTTTGAACTGTTGGTATAGCTTTGCCCTCCTGTGTATGAATCCTAAGTTCCTCATATTGCTGCTCGTTTTCCTCTGACTTGCGTAGTCTGCCTCTGATTGCTGGCCTGTAGAGAAGAAGTTCTGATTTCTCCGGGGAGCATGTGCGTCCTGTGTCTTCCAAGTATCGCTCAACTATTCCTATTGCTTCTTGGAGTCTCTGTTCTATGTAGCCGTCGCTGCCATCACTGACCCATATTGTGATGTCATCCGCATAGATAGAGTGATAAAATCCCGGGATTTTAGGGGCGAAGCTCCTTAAGGCGTGGGCTGTGCGTCCCCTGTATGTAGCCACCTCTCGTTTAGTTCTTGCAGTGTTCACTAGATGGCGCTACTTGTAGCTTATGATGAAAAGATGCAAGATGTTATAAACTAGACGGCGGTATTTGTAGTTGAGGATAGAGATGCGAGATGTTACAAAAATAGGAATGATTTCACATAGGGCGCGTGTCCATTGGTGGAAGGCAAGCGTTCTATTTAGTGCGGCAACGCACCGTTATGGGGAGCGTTTTACTAAAAATCGAGTGGACAAAAAGTAATCCAGGGATTTTATTTCACTCTTTCGGTAGTCCAATCATAATTATAACAAAGAGCATTGGCGATATTACGGAGTCCTGTAGAGTGCCTCTGCAGCCCAATTCTTGGAGATCAAATGTAAGGCTTCCTAAGCTGAGCCTTGCTTTCCTGTTGGTCAAGAAGTTTTTGACGTAATTATAGGCTCGCTAAACCATGTTGAAGCTCGATATGCCGTGAGAATTGTTTCATGAGCTGCATTGTCAAATGCTTTCTTGAGATCCAGACCGAGTATGGCTCGTGTGGATCTTGTGGGGTAGTCTATGATTTGGTGTTTAATCTGTAGCATGGCGTCTTGGGTGGCTAAGTGACGACGGAAGCCTATCATTGTGTGTGGGTAGTACTCACCATCTTCAAGATAGTGGTTGGCTCTATTTACAAATGCATGTTCCATTACTTTTGCTACGCATGACGTTAACTTTATTTATTTTTTTATTTATTTATTTATACTTACTGCAGCCCCCAATTTGGGGCTATGGCAGGAGTGAGCATTTACAGAAAAAATAAATAAAAAAGTAATAACAAACAAACAGATCAACAGAGCAATAAAACAAAAGAACACTTAACGCAAATCAGCAAGGGCAAGTAAAAAATTTTCCAGCGGAAGGGAGCGAATATCACCGGACAGTTCATTCCACATTTCGGCAGTGAAAGGAAAAAAAACTAAATTAGAATGTGTTAGTTCGACAATGGTAAG